GTGACGATGAGCCGTGAGGTAACAGGCCGTACTTTCCGTGGATCCTCAGTAGAGCCGGACCACGGCAGGAGCTCACAGCGGCACGTTTTGGCGGCGATGATTAGCGCAGTGCTGGAGGGGGGAAGCGGGCAGCGGGCGTGCGGGCCGGGCGCTCTGTTTCCGCCGGAAACCGCCCTGTCTATCAATCATGTCAGGCGGGGATAACTACTCTGCAAGCAAAGGAGGCTTATTATGGCTTCACCACACCATGAAGTGGTGTGATAAAGACATATTGTGTTCCATCATGTTTCTCCTTCTTCTTCTTCTCCTGCCATTTTTTGGACGGGATTCAACTCAGCCACTTTTTGGGCAAATAACATGAAATTTGGCATGAAGGTCGAGTGAGCAAATAATCCCAGACGTTTTTTTTTTATACATGCTTTTAAAATTGTTTCATTTGTTTGTTTGTTTTTTTGGGGGGGGGGGCATTTCTTTTTACAAAATCTGTGCATATACATCATTCAAACAGTAAAAGCCCTTGGTGTCTTAAATATATGTTTGTGTTGTAGTGAAATTTTAACTTTGTCATCATGATGTATTAAGGAGAACCTCTGTAGAGTAAAGAGTAAAGATGTAGTTTGGAATTGTCAGGTAATTAAAGTTGATAGCATGGCTATGTATATCTGCAATTTTTGCACGTTTGATCTCTACTGACAGTATCAAATCCCGCGTGCTATGCCCTCTGTTCGGGTTAAGATATGGGTGGTAAAAGACGGAGGCCTTAGGCCGGGGCCCGAACAGAAGCAAAGCGGTATGCGCGGGGTCGTATGCGCGGATGTCTTTTCAGGTGTCCCTCAGCCTTTTGGGAATAGCATTTTTCGCGGACCAGAGTACACAAGGTCCGGAAATGCTCCTGGTCACCTCGTGTTTAACCTTCGTGGGACTGTGGGTGCCTCCCAGGACCTCCCTACTGCTTTTGCGCTACCCTGCAGGGAACATTCGACCTGGGGACTGGCAATGGGCCTTTTATTGTGGCCGGCAATTACAAATGGTCATTATAGCTGCCGCCCATTTTTTTTTTTTTTTTTTTTTTTAAATCTCCCGTAATCTCAAACCTTCCATCGCGCAATGGCTCACCTTTCTTACCCTGCCTTGCTACACAGCAACTGGCATGTGTGGGTGATTGATATCTTCCCCCTCCCATAGTGCATAGCGGCTCGGGATAGCATAAGGGACAGCAATAAGTTGTAGAAACTTCTCTGCATAACGTGACATCACAGAACCGATGGATTGCTCATACCTTGACAAAACTGGAGGTGGATACTCGAAAATCCTGTCCATATTTTTTTGTGTTTGAAATTACAGTTCATCTTTGCTTCAAAATGTATCCTACCAACACGGATTGACGCCCATTCTAATTACGGTTAATCTGAGCACAAAATACAAGTTCACGCCTGCACGTATCTCAAAGTGTTCCTTCCTGATAAAGAGTTGACGAACCCATTTGAAGCCTCTGACTGCGTTCATCCCCAATCTCCAGAAATAAGACCCTATTTCCTGCCTTAATCCTGGGGCGCTGCCTGAGATGTAGGAGTTAAGATTCTCCGAGTGCCTCCGCCCGTCTTAACGCCGGCAAGGTGAGAAGTGAGATGTGCCTTTGATCGGTGTCTTAATCCCCGGGAGTGATTACTTTAGTATTATTTGTAAACTGCCTCTCCGGAGGTTAGTATTATGGCATGGTCGTGTGTTTTAGAATCATCCTGAGTTGGTCACGTATGATTTTTGCCTTCTATTTTCACCTAGCGCGCCAGTTGAACACAGGCATGGATTGAAGAACACCCCCGGGCCGTTTTTCTAGCGTTTTATTTTTACTCTTCATCCATATACGTAATATATGTAATGTAATATAATATAATAATAGACGTCGTGCCTTTTATATATGTAGTTTCCAATATTACGTGAATCTATTTTCTGTCTGCTGTTTTGATTGACGCTAACTGGGGTGTTTTTTTCTCCTTTGGCGCCTGCGTCACCGGCTACCTAGTGCGGCGGCATACAGTGTTCATGATAATTGGGAAAAGAATCTGCCCATATACTGGACGTCTCAAGGACGTTTTGAACCGTTCACGTGTTAGACTGTTCACGTGTTGGACCGCTCACGTGTTGTTTTACCCGCAAATATTCCATAAAGGCCTCCTATAGCGGCAGCCAGAGTGGTCCCGGGGAGTCTGTGCCGGAAATAAACCGCCCGGATAGAAAGCTAAACTTAGTGTACTGATTCCATTGGTGATGCACGATACACTTAAATACCTGACAGAAATAGGCCCAGACTTCACTAATCTGATAAATTTCCATTAATTATTCTGCTGATACAAAAATGTAGCATATCCTGCTGCCAGAGTAATTTGATAATCTCCTATCGGGAATTAACAAAGACCGGCACCGTGGCACCTCTTAATTCTAGTCTTAGTTATAACAAAAGCACACGCGCGCGCGCGCACACACACACACACACACACACACACAATCAGACACATGCACAAACACACATATATAGTCACACACGCAATCACACACACACGTATTCACACCCGTAAGGCGTCATATATTGGCAACGCCACTTTCTGAATGGCACTTATTTGCAATGGAGTATCTGTATCTGTAGATACTCCATTGCAAATAAGTGCCATTCACTTATTAGGGTACAGAAATGACGGCATTATACGCAAGAGTATTTCCAGTGCACCAAACAGTGATAATGAAGCTTAAATTTGTTGGCTGACCAGTTAACCTATTTTCATAGCATCATATCAAAGAACTATTACAATGACTGACATATTATCGCATATATCAAGTGGTTTTCTGCATTTAGAACACGTATTAAACCGCCAATGAAAAGACGGCCCTTTTCCATTTAGAGCGTGGCGTGGTAAACAACATATTAACTGTCAGGGCACAGAAATCTCTTTTATTAAAAAGACAAACACCAGGACGGCTGGATAAGTATGATGTTGCCGTTCACAATGGCGAAGTGACATACCTGTCCGCCGGCTGGGTTACCGTAGTCCTGACCCGTGACCCTGCCGGTCACCCTACCCGCAGTACCCCGATAAATCAACAGGTGTCGCTTACAAATGCTGCTTACTTAGTCACCCCGTCCGGCCGCGTGTGAATGGGACGTCAGTCGCGCTTTTTCACGACCAGCGTACCGTGGCAGATAACCTGTAACAAACTCAGGAGGCTCCGAAATAGCCCTTCAGCTGACCTGTCATATATAGGTCACCCGCCAGATCACTTACAGATCACATTCATCCACTTTCAGATGCAGCATTTATAAGGTTTTATCCCGCATACTTTCTATAGTGTTTTCACGTATGACCCCCAGTCGGTGGTTTTGGACGTTTTCTGAAGATCGGGTGGTGCTATATAAACAGCCGCCCACTGTATGTAAACCTGCGGGTTTGATTACATGTCAGCATGGAGACAATGTGTGGTATAAACAGAGAAGGTGAGATCGCGTGGTTAAGTACAGAACAGCGCTACTCCGTCCCTGATACCAGGTTAAGGATTAGGCAGTTGTTAAAAGCACCAGCAGATTAAAGTCCGTCTCACTGCCTGCGCCATGATTAAAACTCACAGAGGAAACTTGTCCGCGCACCGCTCTGTTCCCAGGTAAGTCAGGTGTGACAACAGCAGGTGGTTAGAAGCGTGTTTGGGGTTTTTAAGAGCCAAAATGGGGTTTATGTGTCGGTAAATAGACGCGGTGTTTATGTCAAAATTCGCCGCGCTCCGCTGCCTTTATAACAGTGCTGTCACGCCGTCGGTGGGGTTGGGTTATCGCGGGGAGGTGTCCGTGGCAGAATTTCATCCCCCGGACGAAGCCTGACTGGCACAGACGTCCGAGGACCGTGTCCAGCGTCTGTAGTGATTGACCAGTCGCCTGGAGCAGCGCCGCCGAGCCTAGGCCAGGTGCTCCTCGGGCCGGACAGGGGTCAGCGCCGAGCAGGTATCGCGACAAGCCGGCACAGCAGACCGGGCTCGAGAGACCGTGTACAGTTTCCGTAAAGCACACATACAGGCGCACAGAACGACTCGCCTGCACTTCATGTTTCCATAGCAACGGACGTCTCAGAAACGACAACAAAATCGTCCAGAATGGCCGAGAACGGTCTGAACCTGGAGGCCGTTGCCATGGTTCCGGAGCAGGACGACGCCCAGGCGGAGTTGATGAAACATGTCCAGTTTGTGCGGGACCACGGGCCGCTCCCTGACGACGGGACCGACACCAGGTAACGGTGTTGCTCAGTACAAGCCAATTGACCAGTACTTCTAGGCACTGAGCCAGGGAGGTACGATAGATATCCATGTATAGCTATGACAGAAGATGTTTATTTTGAAAACTTGTGGATTGTATTCGACAGGAAATCGAGGGAGTTCCAAAATTTTGCAGCCCGAGTAAAGAAACTGTTGCTGTGTTAGGATTTTACAGCAGGAATGTGAACGGTAGCGGTATGACGATGTGAACGTAACTGGAGGAGAACTTAAAGTCTTGGGGTGGTGGTGGCACTGTACATGTCAACTCACTATGTTATATGTTAATTGTATTTTGTTGTGAGGTTTAAAAACTTGAGTGCAGCGCCACACGGTCCTTGTTATTGTGTTGTATTGTCATGTGTTGATGAATAAAAAACTTAGTGGCACGCTGAAAAGTTCTCGGCGTTACGACAAGTAGTGAAAGTTCTTCCGACCAGCGCCCAAGGAAGTATCTGTAGAAGAGGGACAGGGAGGAGGCAATGTTTCGTCTGTGTGAGAGGGAGTCCAGCTTTGCGGCCAGAGGATAGCCGATGGCCACACAGAAGCTCTTTTGAACTCAGTCTGTAAGGTATCGGCAATCGTACCGGGTACCATAACCAGGCCTTCCTTATGAGTCATGGATAGTAAGATTCAGCAAAAATAATTGATCATTGGACCTGTGGGGTCGATCGTGTGGCGTAACGGCAGAGTGCTCGACTCGGAACCAAGAGGTATCCTGGCAACTATTCTTCCTCAGCCATGGTTGTTAGTCTAGTCCACTGCAGCGGGTGGACTACAGATCACCACCCTGGAAATAACGCAGACAGGCCGGGAAAATGTCCACTCAAGACATGAATCCGTGGTTCACCGGAGATAATTTTTAATTTTTCATCGTGCTTCTTTGTTTGTTTGATGACAGATTTCCAGCTTCCAACCATGTGAAACACGCGCGGCTTGTCCGCAAAGGCGGACCACAACTGGTGATCAAGAACCGTTTGGTCTAGTCAATATATGGAAAAAATCAACTTGGAGTAAGGTTGGCGAGTCCCTACCGACATTATTATTGCAGTTTCTGTCGAAACGTTCCTGATGTATTGCGAGTGATACAGTGATACAGTACTACCGCGACGGTAAAGCCCGTTTCCACGACAGGCTGAGCGACTCTTGAGTGACTAAAATTTGACAAATCTAGACCGCTAAACAATTCCCATACATTAGAACTTTTTAAAACCCTTTCTGTGTTTTTATGTGTACTTTTAAATCATGCATCATATTCCAGTCATAAAATCAAGGATAGTACAGATCGAATTTTGCTCGCTGTACGATCGCTCATCAGGGATAATCTCCAAGCAGATGTTTCGGTGGCAAAATCGTGACGGTAGCTAATAGACAGTATCCAATAGCCCACTTCACCTCCGATACCTTCTATCGGATACGGTCAGGATTTTGCCACCGAAACATCCACTTGTAGACTACAAAGTGTGCCTGCACGTTGGACTATCACTAACCCGACCCCTGTCTCCCACAGCGCGGTCGGCCCCACGACTCTGCCCCTGCTGGACTGGACCGACGAGCGCTTCCGGGCCAAGAGGAAAACAGTGAGACACTTCACTTGTTAACAGTCTTTCTTCTTTCGTATTGTTTAGGCATAACACACCAGCTTTGTACAGTAGGTACAAGCTGCGTAAGACCACAACGGGGTAGACCCCTACTCTCCTCCATAAGTGTTGTGTGTTTATTCGTTTGTTTGTTTGTTTGTTTGTTTAATTTATTTGCATTGATAAAAACAGAAGACAGAAAATAACAAATACACATGGTGGGTTCTTTAAACTCATCAAAAACAGGACCCACGGCTTTACGTCCTATCCGAGTGAACGTCCCCAATCCGAAGCTAGGAACCCATTTTCATCTTTGTCGACGGAAGTGCCTTTCCCAGTGGCAGATCACTGGGGCTGATAGGGACTTGAAACCAGAACCTTTGGAGTCTACGTGAACAACTCTTAACACAGGACTGCCTTGTCACTTTAGTTCTACCCTCTCCTGAATTTGCTCCTTTTGCCACAATTCACTCAGGACATCTCGGGTAGGAATGCCGACCGAAAGAAACGGGCCAAGAAGTCGGCAGCGACCCCTAGCGCCGACCGCTATAGCTACAACTACTGGCGCTGGCCACCCAAACCTCCATTGAAGGCCCTGAGCGCACGGGAAGCTTTCACAACAAAGGAGACAAGTAAGGGGCGGGTTGTTATAGGGGGGAAGGGAGTGAAGACGAATAAGGGACGGGTCATTAAATGTGGGAAAGGAGTGTGAAGACGAGTAAGGGACGGGTCATTACATGTCGGTAAGGTGTGAAGACAAGTTTACATTTTACTACACACCTGGTTGGTACCTTTGAAAAGGTGTTCGGGGTGTGTCAGTGTACGGGGATCAAACTTGACTCAAATGTAGTTTAAGCTCGATTCGATTTTTATAGAAAGGTACGCGTGGCCTAAACCTGTGCGCTTAGACTGCACCCGACCTTCAGCCATCCTTGGTCGGTTGGTGTCCGGAGGAAGGTCCTGAATGTGTGACAGGAGTCATTTCCCCCTCCAGGCCTGTTCCGGTTCTCGCACTTCGGTAACCCGTTCCCGCTGGACAAGCTGAAGCGGCGACCGACTGACCACGTGGACCTGCTGAACGACTCCTCACAGATCTACCCTACCGTCAGCCGGACACTCAAGTTCATCAGTCAGTCAACAATGCTTATAGACTTGTTTGTTTGTTCATTTGTTTGGTGTTTACCACATTTACGATAACATATGATAATTTGCCTTTGGATCCGTGGTTAATGTTTGCATCAGTTCTAGTGTCTTTTATTATGTGTTGTTTATATGGCATTCGAGAGTGTGTTGGGAATTTGGTTGTTTGTTTGTTTGTGTGGTTGGTTGGTTGGTTGGTTGGTTGGTTGGTTGCTGTTTCCCAGATGGAAGTTACCATTTGTTGAACGCCAATGACTCCTCAGTACGCAGAATTTGTTGTGTATATGTATGTGTATGTGTATGTGTATGTGTGTGTATGTGACCGAGTCTCCAGTTCTCCAAGTTTCTCTTCTGTTCCTCTCAGCTCCGTTCTCGTCCGAGTACGAGTACAAGTACGGCAGTCCGGACGGCTTCATACACGAGCGGCCCTGGCAGCAGCGCCTCCGCATCTTCCGCAGGAACAGGACGGCAGGATCCAACAGAACCGCCGACTCGGACGGGAAAGGTGCGTTATCTTGTGGGATATACTAGTAGTGCACAGCAAACAGAAACCGCAAGGGGGCGTTAAACTTCAGGTGGGGTTTATTACAGGATAATCCAATTACAGGTTTATCCAACATAACAGACTTGGGCGGAAGAGGTGGCTAACTGCTGAACTATTTTGATCTATTTTGTAACATTGTGTTATTAGTTAGAAGCATTAGAACATATACAGACTAACACGGATAGAGATAAAGGGACGTCCTGTTGAGTGACTGAACACCAGAAATGCAGTCTGGCAGATGGTGTTAGTCATTGGAGTCCTACCAGTCAGGTAGAAGGACGGTCCGAGAACAGATAGGACGCGTCGCATATTTGGCCAATTTATGCTCAAGCCTGTTCTTAGCAGTCAAAGGGGTTTGGTAGTCTGCTACATGTAAATGTACATCACAGGTGCCGTTTGTGCAGTTGGCTGAACAAGCTTAAGGTTGGCATGCACTGGGACGGTGTCATGGGCTATCAACCTTGATCTTCTCGTTCTTTTGTGACGAAAAGTAGCTTCAATTCTTCAGTTGATACCAGGAATACCTTCTAAATATTGGAATCTTTTTTCAGGCTCTCCGGACAGCAATTCGTCCAGCAAGTCCTCTGGTTCCGTCATCTCAGCTGTCTACTTGAGAAGATAAGAAGCAGCACCGTGTTGCAGCCCCACCTTGCGACTGTTGCTGTCCGTTCACATAACATGAAAAGATAAGCCACAACAAAGGGCATCCTCTATTTAAAAATACTGGTTCGAGATCATAGCATTGTACAAAAGCGCCACCTTCCGACAAGTAGCCACGCAGAACTATGGTTTACCTCACGCAGTGCAGGGAGTATAGGGTATTTAACATTGCTGTATCTGACTATGGCTTATGTAATGGTAAATTAGTTTGGTAGAACAATAAGGGTAACGTTGCTTTAATTGCGACAGACGCGTACCTTTCATCAGTAAGTATGTTTGAGTCTCTTTTGTGCTATCTGCGTTACTCTTACATATTTATCATGAATTACAGACAAAGTAAAGAAAATTATGCTGTTTTAAGAAAGACCAATAAACATGTATTTCTAAAATTGCATGATCAATAGATTTTTGAAGTCAACTTTCGTTTTCTACTACTTGCATTTCCAACTGTATATTATATACTTTGTTGTATACACTATACATCGATGTATTTGGTACGTTTATTACTATAGTACTAAGGGCATATCATAATATACACGACCTTTCCATGACATGTTATTGCCAAAGGGTGTGTAAATAATGTTGAGGTTTTCGTTAGTTAACTGATATGAATAAGTTTGTTTAATGATATGGAAATGTAGAATAAATCCACTACATACCGTAAAACGAGTAACTTCTCCATGTTGTAGTCAATAACCTCTCCAACGTACCGTCCATTACACAAGAATATACACCTGGAAAGTTTGCCTTAGTTTTCTCATATTCTGTGTTTCTCTGTGTGTGTGTGTGTGTGTGTGTGTGTGTGTGTGTGTGTGTGTGTGTGTGTGTGTGAGTGTTTGTGTTACATGTCTGAGTGTGTGGGTGTCAATAGTCTACAAGTATATACAATGTAACACTTATGTTCATAGTGTAATTTAACTTTCATCACTTCTAATGGTCACTAACCTTAACAGCAGCACAGACCGCCAGCGGAGGCCTCGGGTTTCATCTCCATGTTGGAATAAGCATGACGAGGTGATACATGTATGTGTTTACCATGACCTAAGATACCATCGGCAAATGACAGGTGGTCTTCTTGTGTTAAGACGATGTGTGGTAAGATATAGTCAAGATAATATCCTTATCTCTATTTTCTTACATTTAAAATACTCAGAGATTTGACGTTGAAAGGACGTCAATTAAGGGCCCTAATCCACCGCACTACCTTCTAAGCATATCTTCGTGCTTTCCATGTGCTCAGATACATCCAAGGCCGTTTCCGTCTATTTGCATGTCATACAGCTCATTTACTAACAAGAGCTGACAGGACCACGACTGGCGCAAAGCCATGCGGTCATTAACCTCCACTCAAATCCTCAAGGATTCTTATGTCGATAAGAAGGAAAGCGGGAAGCCCAGGAAACCTGTCCGCCCAGTGGCCATAACAAGCTGTAATTAACTGGAAATTGCTCGTTACATTTTCCACTAATATTGTTGTTGACAGTTCGCTGCTGAAGGAGATCGTTGCCAAGTTATCAGAAGGTTGTTTGTCAGCAGGTTGTGTTGGCACACAGCCAACCTTATCAAATTCAGGGCCGCTACTTGCTACGCTGCGCACTGAAATTGTTTGACATAACAAAAGTACAACGAGTTTCGTAAAAGCCTTGTACGACTATACTTGCAAATAAACAAGTGTACACAAATGAACTCACATCTCCCTCTTGCTCGGGTCTGCGTACGTCAGCCATGGCGGCCATACTGAGATAATCTACCAGTTTCCTTCGAGCTGGCCGGACTGCTACCCAACCATTAACGAGGCATGAGTAGATCTCACTACTTGAGGCAGGTGTTCTCCGATCGCGATACGGACCAAGAGGATGCAAAGGTGGAAAAAAACGTCTTCGTAATTGGAAATAGACCGACATCACAAATGGAGGCTGTTACATTAATATGCAAATTTACATTGGGAGAAACAATGCAAACCGCCAGCCGTAAACTAAATTGAATCTGCGTCTTTTGAAGCCAGTCATTATAATTCGCATTCCTCATTAAACTCGATAATTCTCGTACTCTAAGCTCCATATGTACGTGTGTTCTAACATTTACAACTGTCTTAAGAAGCAAGAAGAAGCAGAACCTGTACATATGTAGTTTTACTATAGATATATTTTAGTCTACATCGTTATTTACAGTGACCCGTACTTAGTTTGCAATGAGCAAAAATGTACAATAAATGTCTTTCTTATGTTAAGCCCAATCCCAAAGGCATTCCAAGCTTGCTTCTGACCATGGAGGTAGAAGTTGAACTACCTCCATGTTCTGACCAACGCCGTAGTTCATAAACTGGAACAACATAGACATCGCGGCAATCACCGAAACATGGTTTTCTTGGAACATACCTGACACCACGTCAGTCGAGGGTTACTAGTACTTTCGGAAGGATCGTGAAAACAGAAGTGGGGGGGGGGTGTTGATGTCTACATCGAAACAAACATAAAGGCTACACCTGTCAACATCTCCGCCTAACGACATGGAATGTATGTGGATTCAACTAGAACGATCCCCGGGTACCGGTCATCCCTAGTCCCTTTGTGACACTCCCTTTGTTTTGCCAATAGAAGATAAATAAGAATAAACTAATATAAACTGAAGGGCTCTCAGGAAGACAAACCAGAGTCTTATGTACTGACGTTATCATAACTGTTCTCCTGGCAGCTGTGACATTATGGCATCTTCACGGAGCCCTTTTCAGCCTAGTACGCACCTGCATGCCCGAACACAGTTTGCACTCAATAACAAATCAATTAAAAAGACGTTCAAGAGGAAGGATGAGTTCTATTAACACTCACTTTAGCCTGAGTACTGGGCCATCCTGTATGACCGAAATCAATTTCCACTTAAAAAAATCAATTAGAGCTGGCTTTGATTCCCGTTATTATGACCTAATTCGATAGTGCAGCGTTCAAAGCAGCCGCACGTATAATACTTACAGGCAACAAGTTCCTGGAAAATTTCACTCGTGCAGACATACATGTAGACATAATGGGCAGCAACGGCTGTTAATTGTAAGGGACGTTATCGTGCATAATATATAGGTTGTGCAGTCACTCACTCACTCACTCAGGACCGCATGCTCCAGTGCAGTAATAACAATAATTCATAATGATAATTATAACAAATTTGTGCCCGAAGGCTTAGTGTAATGTAACACTCAGTACAAGTATCTTACGAAGATCGGACCGCTTGTTGAAATCATTAATTAAGGAGGCAGAAAATTGATGGCTTTACAGTCCCTGAATATTGTACTGCATGTACTTAAAAGTGCGGCCACATTAGTAGTGCGATTTTTTTGGTAATGAGATTTTGAACGTTCTGGTGGAACCGAAAGTTTCAAAAAGGATCCACCTTTTTCCACGACTCACAAAACATGCAGCTGAATTCTGCCCGACCGCCCCAATACGCAGGACGTCTCTGACCGGGCCTTAGCTATGATAGTTCAGCACCTTTCTCAGACTTACATGTGTACTTTCGTCATACTTGTGTAGAACTTGTTAACATCCTAGTAATGACTCCAATGGAGTCTATGTAACCACATTAAGACCACCCTGTGAAGACAAGTCAATTCAGGTCAAGTCAAGTTTATTGCGCAACAATTGCATTGGAGACAATGTATGGCAAATAACACTTAATAACTATAGACCATTTCTAATAGTTTATTAATCTAACTTTAATACATGTATATGTATGTTATAATGCAATATTACATTTCACATTGCTGTGACAAAGTTTCTCTTTTGTATAGCATTATGTAAATATTGGCCTAGGTAAACAGATACAGAGTCGGGGCATGATAACAGCATGTTGACAAATTTCTCTACTTGTCCCAGGTAGCGTTATTTTACTCTTACATAATATCATTAGTTTTTTTCCCCCCTTCGTTATAGTAGGGACATATCATTACAGAATGGTACTCATCTTCAACTTTGTCTTTGCAGGCAGGACATATTCTTTTCTCGGCTGGTATCTTTTTGTGTTGACCCTTCTCAATTTCTAAGCAATTAAACTCCTAAGTTTAACGGTCGATGGGGCTCTACTCTACATAAGTTACCTTCGTTTTAAATTCGGCCGATGTCGTTCAGTTGAGGTTTTCCTAAAGTTAAACTTTCTTAATTGTGTTATTAGAAGTAAAAGTTGATTCATTTAGCGGTTCAGTGGCCAGGGTAAATGTTATTCCCCGACCTTGGTTTGCTTCAAAAGCCGCACGACTAACCCTGTGTTGACTGATATCGTCCCGTGTGTTGTCTACATGTCTGTCGATAGGGAGAAGCTGAGTGAGATACGTGTACGATACTTCAGATAAAGGCGTTATCTTTGTTTCCAGGCGCTCGGCCAACCAGGGAACTTCACCTTGCTTGGGTACGTGTTGGGATTAAAGGAAAGGCTGGGGAGTTGGCCCGGAGTAAGACCGGCTTTTGTTCTTCGTGGTCTGGGGAAACCCCAAGTTTGTCACTGTCGTCTCTGGGATGCAAATATGCACAAGGTTGATCTGTGGTGGCTTGTAGGCGCCATTCCCAAAAAAAGTTTTCGACGAAACTGTAAAACGTACAAAGCAGCTGGAAAGTGAGTAAGAATATGCCGTATATTGCAAAACGAAATATTGGAAAACGATACGAAAGTCGTAGAACGCCAAAATTAATTCAACATGGCCTAAGCTCTGGAGGAAACTGCAAAACATCGCCGCTTTTCATCACCCCGGTACGGTGCAATCACGTCGTACGTAATGCTCTAGATAAAATGTTTTAAGTAATTATACTTCACGTCATGCCATAGGCAGGGATGAAATATATTGTATTTATTTATGTTTCTTCTCATCCTTCTCCTCTTCATCCTTCTTCGTTAAATGGATTCTGTATAAAAATATGTACGAAAGATATGGAGGGGTCACAGTTACAAAGAATGAATTTAAAATGCATTTCGGAATCCATCGACTCATATATTTTTTCTATTCGAGCCACACCAAAAACTCTTAACGAGCCACGGTGTGTGCAGGGTCATCTTATGCTATACTCTGTACTGTTTTTATGTTATATAACCTTGTAAAACCACACGGTGGATTCGCGTTAAAAGTGTATAAGATAGCCTGGATACAACAGTTTGAGGGATTTTTGGAGAGCAGTTAGGGGATCATCTCTGACGCACCTGGAAACCTGACACCATAATGTGTTAACTTTGATGGTTGGTCTCTCAAATCCATTAAAAGGTAATCTGATCACAAAGTTTGTATTTGTTTAGTCTTGCCTTACAAGTCACCGTAGACTAAAAGCCAACCGAGGGATCATTTCAGACGCATGTGAGAAACAGAAACCATGATGTTGTAGTCAGTTTTGCAAATCTCTTAAAAGGTCATCTATGCTGTATCTTTCCTGGCTTTCTGCTGCTAAGCCTACTTACCACCCCGGTTCTGTTTCAGGACAAAGATACATGCGCGTACAAGCTTAAGTAAGGATGACCATACGACGTCCTTATTGAGTAATGTCCTTGATAACAGTGCGTTCTTATTTTAGGTAGCTCATAATACCATGCCTTCTGCCTTCATCCATTCAGTCGCTGGCGTTATCGTCTGTATTTGTGGAGAATAGAACTCAGTTTACATAAGTCTCATTAAGATCTTAAGAGCGACACTGTGACATTTGAATGTGTAATTACTGGATCGCGCTTACATGTGTACGGAAGATGTGTAAAAACTACACTTG